AATCCTTTGAAGCCCAGTCTGGACATCAATCCACAAGGGATCAGTAAGCGTGCACCAGCTTCACAAGATCTGAGTAACAGTCCACCTCCTGTGCAGGATAGGACGTCTCATACAGTCCAATCTAAACCGCAAACACACTTGGCATTGGACGGATCCCCACAAATGGTTAATTCGTCTCCCTCTCCAGCATCGCCCAGGCTACCGCCGTCACCACATCCTCCAACTACCTCACCTGCAACACCAGTCACACCCAGGAGGATCGTGACAAACAGACCAGAGCAACTATCCGTTGACCTTACCCCAAGACGTCCTAATCGACAACGACAAGAGCCAAAATGGCTTAGTGATTATGAGCATTAAATGGGGCAGAATAATCCCCGAACTGGAGGGTAGTCTGCCCAATGACAGTTCTACTTTTCTACTTTTTAATTAATGTACAAATAGTACCTTATCATTTTAATTTCATTTTCTTTGTATGTTACATTTACTGTTAATTGATACATAATTTGATCTCACAATGTAATAACAGTGTTAAGGCATATCACATTTTCAGTGACAATGAACAGTAATAGACTTATTCCATCCATATTTCCCACAAGGACAAAAACATTAAATCAGTCATTTAAAATACTTATAAATGACTCGGGGAGGGATAGAGGATTATGTATTTACTTGTTAGTCTATTACTTATGTCTTACCAACAGATAGTTGATTTTATTTACAATGTTACTTTTTGTATGTTTCAGACCTCCATCATTTTGGATAATAAAGTTATCTGAAAATAGTATCGGCCTACTTATCTACATACCTTGAAGGAGTATATGTTTGTGTACTAAGGTCAAGGTCACTGTCACTGTTGTTAGAAAACCTTCTTTACTACAGCAGCTCCATTTTAAAATGAATGTTCATTAAACTTCATACATTATTTGAGAATAATTTGCTATTGAGATACTGTTGCTATGAAGAGATATTGTGGTGATGGAATTTCGACTAAACACATAGAATACATAATGTTTATGTTGTACCCGAATATATAAACATGGAATTAAGTCAGTGCAATAAATATGTTTCTCATAGCAGATTGTTTCCTTGTTTGGCTCATTTAAAAGTTAACAAATGACAATATTGTCAAGTTCAAAAATATTGATAGTTTGATATTTTTTCAATGAAATATCCCCACTGTAACATTTGGCATATTTTTACGACTTTTCTTCAGCTTGTCTTACTAAACAGCCAATTTCATATAGGCGTATCCATCCAGTGTTTTACCTTATTTTTTTTATCCTACTTACAAATGGAAAGAAATCTGTTTTACCGAAGTTTGATTTCATGTGACATTTGTCATTTTCATAACACTGATATCTACCATTCTGACAAGATAAAATCTGTTTCGGATAATTACTATTTTTAAATCTGACTACGAGATCCGGAATTCGTTTTGTGATTTAGTTACAAACGTCAAAAACCAACATGGCGGAAGACAGCTGCCTTTTCGCCAAAACATTACGACAGTTTGCACGATCTGCAGGTGGAATAGACCCTACACCTTTTTCGAAAGTGAGCTGCTGATAAAAATTAGCTGCATTTTGTGGATATATGTCGCTTGTTATTGGTCGTGTTCGCATGTCATGCTTAACATTATTTCATGATGGACCTATCAGCCAAAGTACTCGTGTTCTTTCTACAAGAGTCATTTTCGTAAGGGGCGTCGTAAAGTGCCCTCAGAAAATATCTTTAAAGGTGTTCCATAAAGTTAGCGGCGTCAAACAATATGCTGTAAATGTGATAATAATACACCCATGTACCAAGTTTGATGTTGATATTCCTCGACCGGTGACGGTCGTGTGTCTCATGTATCACACTTGCGAATAGCGTTCTCTAACTTTTCACCTCAAAATACTTAGTAAATTCAGTGACATTAAAAGATATGTTGTTGATGTATTGTCAAGTTGTCAGTCAACTCCAGGTAAGGATAGGTATTACGCTGCTATTCTTTGTGGCAATGGAATACATAGGTAATGTGTAACATTCCTGCCCCTCCCCTCTGAATTACAGTTGAAATACAGTGAAACCTCACCTAACGACCACCTCAAAATTACGATCACCCCGCTATTAAGGGCACTTTTTTCATTCCCCTTTTTTTCCACTATATATCTTTGTATTGGTCACTTCAGTATTACGACCACCCGCTATTCCGTATTACGACCACTTTCTACAGTCCGAACGACCACTAATTAATGATAATTGACCTCACAATTATGACCAATTTCTGACCAGTGATTAATGAATAATACATCATTGTTGTGTTAAAATATAACCTGTGATTTAACGAGAATGAAGAAAGTCTGTCCTTAAGGTAGGCAAAATATAGTAAAACAGCTGATATTTTAATACACACACCATTTATTCTATCCATTCTGAAACACATATTGAAAATTCAATCAATCCAAACTTTAACAATTTGTCGTTCAGTCATTGTTTACATGATGTTAGCGTTACCCTGTATCATGCCAGATGACACTTTGCATGGAAATATGGCTCCAAACTTGACAAATATAATCCAATTTGATGAATTTTCAAATTATAAATTTGTTTGTTACAAAAAACAACATCACTTATCTAAGAAACAGTTACATGTTTTAAATACAATGTGGTAGGTGCCAAGAGCTCTTTTGGATCTCATGTTATAGTTTTTAATTCATTGTGATTGACGTCGTTGTAGACATCACATTGCTTCATTTGATACATCTTCTGATATACACTAGGAAATGTTATTCACATTTTATGTGATTACCAGGTCGGGAAAGGCCACAAACTGGCATATTATGCAATAATATACACAACCTGGCCTGTAATTTACCAATTTTGGTGTTGATTTTTAACTAAAAATAGGCAAATTTGTTTAAACAGTAACTTTTGCAATATATTCTTAAAAGTGGCATTAATTTATGACAAGGAAAATATTTTTTTTTTACGAAAAGATGTTTACTGAAAGTGCTTGCTACTTTGAAACTTTACATAACATTCACTACCATAGTAACTGTGCTATCATAACATTGGCCATATGGGACGGAAGTACTGCATCTTTTTTTGGTGTTTCCTGACGTGCAATTAAATTGTATTTGTGTAGTAGTATGATGTTTCATGACTAAATAAATGTGACTAGGGCAAGAAATTAGGAAAAAGCTAAGTTTAAACTGATTTCAAATATTTTATGTAACAAATCCATATCAATGATAAAAATGATTTTTGTTGATAGGTTGAGAGACTGCTGTCCTACTGTCCCAGAGAATCATCATGCCGAGGTCTGAGACTGGACAAGCGGGCTCAAGATGCAGTAATTGCCTTGGGAATCTACTTTCTGGAGTCTGGCCTTCAAGTAATTTCTTTATGTACAAAAGTTACATTTTTACTCTTTATATAGGGTGATGCATCATTTGTTTCTGGGGAAGGGTGATCAAAACAAATGCTTTACTGTTATAAAACAATAGTACATTGAAGACTGTATGTGTTAAATCAATATTTATATTTGTTGTTTGTTTACTAGTACAAGGATAAGATTCTTCCGTACCTCCTGAGTGTACTGAGGGGACTTACCAAAGCACAATGGACCAATCAGAAACCACCCAAGTCTCAGAGTGAGTAGCAAAACAAAATAATATTGATATTTCCCAATATCCAATAATATCTTCTTTTGCAAATATCCAATTATCACTTCTTTTGTAAATCTCTTCTATTGGAAACATCAAGTAAATCTCTTCTTTTGCAAATATTCAGTGTTCTCTTTTGCAAATATCCAAGATTCTCTTACTTTGCTAATATCCAATATTCTATTCTAGCGTGCGTAATTATGTTTATTTTTTTGCTTGTCAAGCTCAGAGTTTGTATGCAGTGTATTATTTTTGATACCTGCCATTTGGAAATAAAAGCAGATTTGCTGTGTAATTAAATGCTATTGTTAATTTTTCACAGTATTCAAAAGGAAAGGTTTTTTATAATTCTCTTATCCAGCACTCATTATCATTTCTTTAAAACAGTAAAAAAAATTGTTGTTTATATTTTTTAGCACTCCCACGTAGTGAGTGTTTCAGTTTCTGTCTCAACACAATCCTCAGTGATGTGGCCAAAAGGGACCATTCAGTCAGGGAACAGGTATTTGGTTACAGATTACAAATCACAATAAAGTTTTAATTCATTGGGGAACTAGCCCATCTTTAAGCATTTACTGTAAGACTCTGTTAGAAAACTGGTTTTTCCTCTGACACATGACATACTACTTACAATACATAATTTCACATGAAAATATGATTGAGGTAATTATACTACCAGTATTTATTGTATGGTTGGTAATATTTGTCTGGAATCCAATTTCAAAACATGCACAGCCAATAAAGAGAGCGAATTCATGTATAGTGTATGAAGATCTCAGAAAAAAAATTGAAATTTAATCACCATTGTCTAGCTCAAACCAATATAACTTCGAAATAGTAGCTGTGTGAAATTAAACAACTATACAGCTATATTGATATGAAATAAATGTGGAATAACCATTCAAGGGATATTTCAAATCATATTAAGCCTTAGAAATCCATTTGGAAATTGATCTCAAGAAAAAAAGTCATTAGCATTAAGAAAAATATAGGTAAATTTTGTGTTATTTCAAATTTTCAAATGGCTTTTAAATTTGAATAAGAGTTTTTATTTAGTTATGATTTTGATTAAAATTTATAATTTGGGAATATTTCACAGATTATTTCTGCCCAGTTGGAAGTCCTGGAAGTATTGACTAAGCTGTGTGAGGGATCATATGAGATACCAAAAGGTAGGAATCTGTTAAGCTTTTACCAATGAATAATTTTTTATCAGTAAATAGAAGTATAGAAAAGATTGTTATGACAAATTACTGTGTATAATTAAGTATCATTCCTGTAACTGGTAGTTTTACTTGATGGTGAAAGCAAATATCCTAATATTGAAAAAGAAAACATTTTCATAATATCTAATATTTGTAAGTTTTTGCACTTTTTCTTAAGGGCTAAGTTATAAGTTTGTGTAACTAGATATGATGTCACAATATTTATGTATGTTGTGGTACGTTGTGGTGCTAACTTGTGTAATAGGAAAACTGTAAGAACTTTTGATAACAATGCCTGTAACACTTTAGATGTTATCTGTGCTAACCTTATGATAAAAGTGTTGCAATAGGAAATCTGAAATTGTTCCAAGTTCTAATAAAGATTTTCAATTTGTCCATTAATTTCATGGAATAAATTATATTTGTGCTTGTACCACCATTAACATTATATATAACTTTGTTATATAACTTTCTATTGCAGTTGTACTATGTACTGCCATAGTTCCCACTCTCATTGGAATGTCACGAGCGATTGGGCGTTCATGCGATGGTTCTGTTCCTTTAATTTCTATTCTGTTCCCATCGGAAGCAACCAGGAAATTTTCTAAAGTTCCTCCTGTAGACACATCTCCTGCTTCTAAAGTGATGTCCTTTCGGTCCATTCTTCCACGGACGATGTCCTCTCACGTAATCACCCAGGAATCGTCAGGTCCATCAAGTCCTGTAAACATTCCATCTCTGGATTTTCCATCACCAAGGTCAAGAGAAAGGTCACCATCTCCGATACCCAATCAGATTAAAGAAAAACCAGCACAAGAGGAGGAGCTGGACCCTGCGTTACATTACTTTAATAAAGTCGGGTCAAGTCTCACCCAGACCAAACCTTGGGGGTTTGAGATTGTTCCAGAACAAGATCATCTCAAGTTTTCAAGTTCCCATCTCCAAACACTAGTGGGAGTGGTAAGTTATGAAGAAATTAAAGAGTGAGAAGAGAAAAATAAAAAAAGTAATGTTGCTTTCATGTTTATGTTCTCCTCACAAGATTACTTTCAAAAAGATTATATGTTGTTGGTAGGTGCATTTGATATACATGTGATTATTCTAGTTTTATTTATGAAAATATTTATAAGAAAATAAGTTACTATGGTGTGTCTCTGAGGCTATTTTATTTCGTTTCTGACAGGCTCGACGACTTTTGAACAAGGACACTTTGAGACACCTTGATGGTTCTTTGAAGGATTTTTATGCTGAGTTAGAGGTAAAGGACACATGTCTGGTGCTAAAAGTAATTAAAATAAAGCAAGTGCCAGATGATTTAGGTGTTATGAACATCTGGAACTTGTTGGCTGAGGTAACACCATTGTAGGTGATAAATTAGGAGCAGTTTAGTATGACTGCTAAGATGATGTGGTTGTCAAATTCTGCTTCTGGTAACTTTTACCTAGCTTGATTATTGTTTAAAGAATTTAGCCTCAAGTCCAAATAGGAATCTTAACAGTATTCAATTTCTTTATTGAAAATACTAGGATATAACAATTTATGATTAGGATACATACATGTGTATTGTTACAATTAACTGTGAACATTGTATTAAATTTGAAGTTTCCAAGAAAATTAATCTTGATACTGTATTGATAAGTTTTTGTTTCTATCAAGTTAAATGATCATTGTTTGACTATTGCTGGTATCCTGGTAACTTGTTCCTGACATTTTTCTATGTTTTTATGAATATATAATCAAACTACAACAATCAATGTAAGGAATTGTATACTTATTTAATAGTTTGTACTTAATACATAAATTACATATCTTGATCTTGGTTCAGATATTGTCTTTATGGAACCAGATATTCATATGAGAATTTAACAAAATATCATTCAATTACAAATTTAAGTGTGAACATTCCTTGACTTTCATTGTTTTCTGACAGCAAAACATCAGCTTCATCTGGTTTCCTTACAAGTCCTTCAGCGAGACCCTCACCCTGGTGATCATTACTCTATTAAGAGATGTGCTGGAACAGGAAAAAGGTACTGAGGCTGTAACTATTCCAAATAAGGAAATATGTCAATCGGACATAAGGAAATGTAGTTTTCAGGTGTATAATTCACAAAGCAGAGTTGTTCTTTTAATGTTTATTTTAATTATAGTGTATTATTTCTTTACTTTTGTTGTTTAATATCTTTTGCTTGAATTAACAGAATATATTGTGTAATTCAGAACTGAAGAATCTTAACATGGATCATTTGGTGTTATTTTTTACTTACACAGACTTGCCATTGAGCTTCATGAGCGATATCCAGGACTTTGCCACAGGGATGTACCAGACAAGCCAAGCAGAGCTAGACAAGAAACCACGCCCACATCGGGATGGGGAACATAAATGCCACTTCAACCCCTATGACTTGACAGTACTGAGTAGTGCAGCATGTGTTGATCTTCTGTTTTGGGCAGTCCGAGAGGAACAGGGTCAGTGTGTGAAATTTATGCATTATTCCCTATGCAAAACTTCTCCATTGATTTAGTCACTTCACAATCCATCTACTTAACTGGAAACAAAGAGATCACAGAATTACTGAAGCTTTGTTGTAGGCGTAGCTTGTGAAATAACTGCTGCAAAATCTCAATATTGTCATGGTGTATTGCTTATTTTAATTCCCAGAAAATAATATGTCAGTTACATGTGCATATATTAGTTTTAGGGGAAAAGTTTGAAGACGGTGAGAGATTATTGTTTAATGTGTGATTTGACATATATTGATAAACTTTGTTTTTGTACATTTTTGCTGTAAAGGAAAATTAATCAGAAGATTAAAATTTTGATTTTAGATGCTGAAAATTTATGTCTGAAGCTCTCTGAAAAGATTAGTATGAATACTGAGAGTAAACTACTGCTCTCTCACACTCCTCTCATCCTAGTGGCTTTAGAGGTGAGTTTCATCCATGTGTCCACAACAAGGAAGTACCAAAAATGAATGTGTATGAACATGTGTGACTCATGAATTACATCACCACCTACTTTATATTAATATTACCTTTAAAAAATTGGACACATCAGTCATCACAATTACAACTTGCTAAATATTCAGCAAGGATCAAATATGATGAAGTTTAATATACCGTTATTCCTCATGTTTGTAATTGATTAATGATGAGTTGTATTGATAATCTAATTAAATGTTAATACTAATATTTACTTCAGATTCCAGTTTTGTATTTTTACTGTTGGTGGTTAATTTTGTAATTTTGAATCATTGCTTATAAGTCTAGAAAGTTCTTTGAGTATCTTCATCAGTAAAACATATTCTGTAGTGACTTGCCGTTTTTTACCTTTCTTCATGGCTTCCTCTTCAGGCCCTGGGAAAGCTAGCCGTCAAGTTTCCCTACTTAGCTTCCAGCATGTGTGCTTCTCTGCGTGATTTCCTGGTGTGTCCATCTCCACTTCTTAGCAAACTCAATAAGTATGCCACACCAGATGGACGTAGCAGTATCAAAATTACAGTGACAGATGGCACAAACTCGTCAACGGCCACACACATGCCCACTGATAACAAACGTAATCGGCCGATGAACAAGCTCCTGAAAGCCTTGGAGAATGTCCGAGACTGTGCCATTATGAACATTTGCAGGTAAAATGTATACAGATTATCAACAAGTCAATCTGTCATTATCAATGTTGTCAATAATATCAATTTCTTAATTCATGCTATTTTGAACTCATGATTAAAACAAAATCTAATGTCTTTGGTATTTTACCATGTTTGAGATATTTTGCGGTTTTACAGGGCGTTAAAATCTGGCCTTCCAGTTGAGCCAGAGTGTGTGCAAGCCTTTCTGGCCACAACATCAAATAGACTTTACCGTGCTGAGATGTCTGACAGGTCTGTATTTAATTAAATTTTCTGTATAACACTGCTTGCCAGCATCTAAATATGAACTGCATGAGCAATGTCAAAATATTTGTGTGAACAATATCAACACACACCTGGAAATTGTCCTATTCTAGCTGACCATTGTCAGATGTTGGCCTATTCAAATTGCCTTGTGCCTGTTGTCTGTGTTTAACAGTCCTCTTGGTTTATTGTTGTGTGCAATCAATTTTGAGACTGATGATATAATCCAGAAGATAGTATGGTTGACAGACGTACATTTTGGATTTTTATTGTGAAATTTTGTTTTCTTTATTTGTGTAAAAGTACTGCATAGGTCTTTCCCTAATTTCATTTGAGGTTCAACTTGATCTCTGGTTTTGTTATTTTATGTTTGAAGTTGTTTAGGAAAGAATTGACTGAAAGGCAGCTATCTAATTTTGACTATGTAAGTTTTTTACAGTGTCACTTTTTCTTGACAAGGTTTGGATGGGTCTGTCTCATATTTCATATGAAGATTCTCCCTTGTAGTAAGGTACGCCCTTTTAACCTTGAGACTGATTAAAAAACCCATAAAACCAAAATGGCAGAAAAGTAGTCATCTTGGATTTCAACCATGAAGGTTTGCTATTGCAATGTTAATGATTAAGAAGAACTTGAGTCCTCTCCAGACATATTTGTAGTGTCTCTGTGGTCCTAAGTGGTGATCTAGATGGAGATTTGTAGTGTCTCCGTGGTCCTAAGTGGTGATTAAGATGGAGATGTGTTAGATTTGATTTATAGGTTTTCCATGTTTATTGATGTTATCCTGTCAATAAAATCATGAGGAATAGATAAGAGGAAAGACGATATCAAATAATCACACAAAGGTGGGTGCCAAGATCCTTATTAAGTTAAGTAATAGTAAGATGCTGGATATATTTGTTGTCATAGCGACTGAAAATTTGTATTCCTTTTATAGGTTTGTTCTTTGTATTATATAAAAAAACTGAGAGCTAAAGTTAAAAACAGCAGTTTTAATTTATTTTTTCATGTATTTAGAAATATGTATGGATGTTATCAATTTCAGATACACACTGTATTTAATGTAACAGTGGGGTTTATTACATCATGTAGATATATTTATTGTATGTCTGTTAACGTTATATCCACACTTTTGAATTTTATTGATAGATGTAAAGTCAGCTTTTATTCAAGTGTTGAACAATTTGAAGAATTTTAATGTTTATTTTTTCAATTATGAATTCAGTGCATACACAATGTATGCATGTATATATTGATGACTGCTGTGTTGAATATTGATTGAAAGTACAGATGGAGTATTCACTAGTGAACTAAAGAGACATGTCTTTACATAAAACCAAGCCAAGATTTACACTCAGTGTCCCCTACACTTCCCTGCTTGATCACACGACAAATGCCTTTTACTGTCACAGTCAAGCCCTGTTTGTGATTGTTACAATATCCCTTTGTAATGACTATGTTGTAAACTACAAATAGATGTAAGCACAGAATATCAGTCTGAAAGAAAGTTCAATATATATAAAAAATATCTTCAAGCTGTTAGGACTGCAAAATGGTTTAAATTGTGTAAGAAATCTCTTTCTAACTGCCCAGAAGTGTGTTATTGGAAAGGAAATACATTAATCTGACACCAGATGAATGTGGTTTTAATGAAAGACATCTTATATTAGATCATGATAATTTCCACGAGTACATTTTGTTGGTTTGCATTTATTTCAAGGAATTAGTTTTTTAAGGCTAGTGAAAAAGACCAAAATGTTTATGAAAATTTCCTGTCAAGATGATGATATTACCTTCCAATTCTTGTGAAATTGTCATAATTCAAGAGAGTGAAAACTGCCTTGTAGTTAATAAACATATTTGGATTTAATTATAGTTGTTAGAGATTTGGTAAGAAGAGTTTCAAGACTTCCTGATATATAAATATACTCCGAAGAAATGTTATATTGTGAACAGGAATTATCATTTAAGACTTCAATCCTGGTCTTACAGCAGATACCTGGTAAAGATCTTGTATCAACCAGCCATCAGTCAGTGAACATATTTTTCTATCCCTCATACAACCAAACACCAATTTAATTTGGTACATTTTGTTTGATGTAAATACCCATTTAGGTTCTGTTTAAATTACAAAGGCAACTTCCCAAAGATATCTTTCATGCTCTTTTTTTTTTTAAAAAAAAAGAAAAGAATTTTAGCCAGCAAAATTAGTGTTATATAGAAGGGTTGGAGTACTAGTAGATATCGTTTTGTCTGCCCGCATGTGTAAGCTGCCCCTGTGTAGGTTTTAGAAAACATACTTATGGTTTGTATAGTTGCCTTCTCTTGACTTAATCCCAATGTCCTGTATGCTCATTTTTTCAGTTGCCAAATTTAACCCAAAATGCATGGCTATTTACGAGGTCTTGAATCTTTTGAATGTGCATGAAGATCAAGTTTTTATTATCATTTTGTAGAAATTAATTTTTTAGTTTGCAATTTATGATTTTATTTTGTTATTTTTTATCATTTTCTTTGTTTGTTTGTGACCTTTATTACTAGGAACAATCGAAAGACGGGAAAGGCCCATTGGAAACAGGTCAAACTTGTTATGAAATTTATACGTCCGACCACAGCGAAGGCCAGTTCCGAGGCTATGGACATGCTAAGGCAAAGCATTTTCATGAATCATGTGACCTATTTACCATAGAGATGTATCACACTAACATTTGGTTTGCGACTAATTTGTACATTCTAACACCTTGCTTTCTTTATATCATTAATGCACATCACCAATCTTTTTCTTCTTTAGCTGGAGCTAGATGATCCGTTCAGTGTGTATTAGATCAATGCATTTATATTAGATTTAAATCTTATATGATAAAATGTCTCTTTTTATTGATTTTTGTGTTATTTGTGGTTTTAAAGCAGTTGCAACTAGCTGTTTGTGTTAATTTGTGGTACCTTACAAGTAGCATTCAGGGGACATTATCCGAGGCATTTTCCTTTTGATGTAACGTGGTTAGAGTGATTGCCCTTTAGATATTCATCTACTTTCTGTCAATAATCCTCTTGGTACACTTGACAAAGACCTCTTCATAGACTTGGTCATCATTCAAATACAGATTTGAATGAACATCTCCAAATTTTTCAGCTTTTCATCTTTGTTGATAGCACACATAGTATAAAATAAAAATTTCAACTCGGTCATCAAATAAACACACCCATGAATATTGTTGATCAAGTAATCCAAACGACCAAAACAGAAATGACATTTGATTGGGCAGATCACAGAGTTTTTGCACATGAAATTAAACAATATCTATATTTATTTTTTTTTCTGTTTGACAGGACACAAGTGTTGATAATTTTATATGTGATTGTTAGTTTGATGGTAATATATTTCAGAAGAATATATTAAGAAGTAACAGAGGTGTATCAACAGTAAACATTTCAAATAAAAGATGATATCATAAGTGTATGTTTTTGACCAAGAGATAGACACCAAACAAAACAACTAATAAAAGTATTGAGATGCACATGATATCTTTGTTCTCCAGGTCTGAGTAAGTATGACACATGTAGATATTTTATTCTTATCTGTTGTACATCTTTATGTATCCCGGTACAGTGTATTAGTAGATCTGTAGTCTTATCCTCTGTAGATATGATGTGTTATACACTGGGTTCCATAGAGTACTGTTCCCTACCTCACGGTATATATATATATATATGATAAACACAGGGCTATATAGTGTTCTGTTCCCTACCTCTCAGTATTTATAGACATGATAAACACAGGGCTATATAGTGTTCTGTTCCCTACCTCTCATTATATATAGATATGATAAACACAGGGCTATATAGTGTTCTCATTATATATAGATATGATAAACACAGGGCTATATAGTGTTCTGTTCCCTACCTCTCAGTATATATAGATATGATAAACACAGGGCTATATAGTGTTCTGTTCCCTACCTCTCATTATATATAGATATGATAAACACAGGGCTATATAGTGTTCTGTTCCCTACCTCTCAGTATATATAGATATGATAAACACAGGGCTATATAGAGTACTCTTCCCTACCTCTCAGTATATATAGATATGATGAACAAAGGACTATGTAGCATACTGTTCCCTACCTCTCAGTATATATAGATATGATAAACACAGGGCTATATAATGTACTGTTCCCTACCTCTCAGTTTATATAGATATGATGAACAAAGGACTATGTAGCATACTGTTCCCTACCTCTCAGTATATATAGATATGATAAACACAGGGCTATATAATGTACTGTTCCCTACCTCTCATTATATATAGATATGATTAACACAGAGCTATATAAAGTACTGTTCCCTACCTCTCAGTATATATAGATATTATAAACACAGAGCTATATAGAGTTCTGTTCCCTATCTCTCGGTATATATAGATATGATCAACACAGGGCTATATAATGTACTGTTCCCCACCTCTCAGTATATAGATATGATAAACAAAGGACTATGTAGCATACTGTTCCCTATCTCTCAGTATATATAGATATGATTAACACAGGGCTATATAATGTACTGTTCCCTACCTCTCAGTATATATAGATATGATAAACACAGGACTATATAATGTACTGTTCCCTACCTCTCAGTATATATAGATATGATAAACACAGGATTATATAATGTACTGTTCCCTACCTCTCATTATATATAGATATGATAAACACAAGGCTATATAGAGTTCTGTTCCCTATCTCTCAGTATATATAGATATGATAAACACAGGACTATATAATGTACTGTTCCCTACCTCTCATTATATATAGATATGATAAACACAAGGCTATAGAGTGTTCTGTTCCCTACCTCTCAGTATATAGATATGATATATGCAGGGTTCCATTCTGAACTGTTCCCTATTTGTCAGTCAAAGTAGATACATATAGAATTCCATAGAGTGCTGGCAATGAAACAAACCATGTCCTAAGAAAGAATAAAAG